TTTGCAAAATGGCAAGCTATCCCATCTATTCTTTATTTTAATATTGAATATATCAAAAGGGAAGTCGAACTCAATCCCTAACTTCTTAACCCACAAATTTCTTAAGGCAAGCCATGCCTCCTAAGAAGCCCCAGATCCAAATATCAAATCAAGCTTAGAAGCCCAATCAAACAATTTTGGCCATAGATGGAGATCCATATCTTAGGTGATCTTTTAGAATCAAGTGGTGGACCAGTTTAAAATTGACCAAGTCTTGCCAGTAGGTATAATTAAATTCTTCCAAATGCACCCTACAATTACTAGAGCAAATGACAATCCTCAATTTCTTTTCCAAAAAAGCAAGAATATATTGCATCCCTCACTACATGCCTGATAAAGAAAGAAATGAAGCTCAAACTGTTGGAGACTTTACATTTGTTTTTTGGCAGTAACAACATAGAAGAGAGTAGTTCATCAAGTGCTTCATCAGTTCCCCTCCAGACCTTGCACGAGATGATGAAAATAACTGTTTAGGCGTGTTGCCTCCAATTTAGCAAGAAGTCAGAATGAAACCATCAAGTTCAAAGGCATCCCCAGTAAAGAAAAAGGCATGAAGCAACTTCTACAATGTTGGTCACTAGACTTTAAAAAATAAAATAAAATAAAAATAAGGCACGTTGTCACTTACGTACTTGAATTTCATCTAAAAACAAATCAAAAGGATTCACCTTCTGGCTCCAAGCTTGTCGTCCATATGTAGGGATTCCGCTTTATGTCCCAAAGCCTGCAAGGATTCCTCCTACTATCCACTACATCAAAACCCACTCTAATAAAGTTTGAAGATGCACTTTGCAAGGATTCCTCCTATCAACTTCTACATCAATAATCACTTTGATAATGGCTAAAGATGTTATTCCCTACTAAGTGCCATGAAGGTGGTCATCCCTACTAATTAACCAAAATGGAATCCAGTTTCAAGTCCAAGTTTGTCTATAAAAGGCAACCTATTAAGTTATAAAAGGCATCAGTTGAAAGAGCAACCTCTCTTGTCGTGAGCCGTAGTCCTAAAATCCAGTGTCTAAGTTTGCATCAAGTCTTTGTAATTAGAGGTATTATTAAAAAAAATTGTTTAAAAGTTTTTATTTATAATTAAATTATTATTCTTTAAATTATTGTTATTGTTTAGTGAGGGTTATTGTCCTAAAAGGTAACCCAAGAGGGGGGATGAATTGGGTTTTTATCACGAAAACTAAATGTGTGAAAAATTAAAAAACAATAATAAAAATATTAGATTAAATAAACTTATACAATTCACCTAAAAATAAATATAAAACAAATTTAAGTAAAGTAAAAAGAGTAAGGATAGGATATGCAAAATCTTTTATGGTGGTTCGACTTACTACCCAAGTCTGCGTCCACTCTCTCAAGCTCCAACTAGCCGAGATTCCACTAAGTCTCTTGCACTTGACGGAAGTAAGAAATCCTGAGTACAAACAAAATCTCTTGCACTTGGCAAAGGTAAGAAATCCCAATCATAAAGACTTTGATTCGGTGAGCTTTAAACACTAATACAAATGGTAATGAAAATGAAATAGAAATGTAGCAATTCCTCTTAAGTAGGATTAGCTACCACTCATGTACAAAAATAATTTCACTTCAAAGAGGCACTCTCAAGAATAAAAATAATTTACTTTATGTACTCTTAGATCTAGTAATAAACAATATAGCACAAAAAATTTTAAAGAGATATTGAAGAGGCTTTGAGAGCTTGTTGTTGTGTCCTTCTCCCTTCAATCTATGCTCCTTTTATAGGCAAAAACATCAAAGAGATGTTGGAGAGACGTTGGTCTTTGTGAAAGACAAAATCATTTGTCAACAGTAACTACACATTGGCTTGTTTCAAAAATTCAAATAAAATGACTCTAAACGTTCAAAAAGTCTTAAAACATTCTTGAATACTCCTCAATGAGTCTATTTTCAAATACAAAAAGAATCATTGAATTATCATGCACCGTTTGAGAGAAATCATCAAATCTTCAATGACATGCCAGACTGTTAAATTGCTTTTGACAAAAACTGTTGGCCAAGTTCAAAATTGTCTTGAAATTTGAATTTGTATTTAAAAATAACAAATGATATATTTTTAAAAATCTTATAATGTCTAATTTCATTCAAAATTAGATTCGTACAAATTTTACTTTTATATTTTGAGATATGATAAAAATATTGTGGTATACTCATTTTGTCTGCTGACAGTGTGACTCAGCAAAAGGGCCTACTTTGAAAAATTATATCTATCAATCTATAAGTGTAAAACATGCATATAATATATCCCTTTAAAGTTCAACACGTCTATTTTACAAATAAAATCAATTTAGAATTTTATTTATATCATAAGTTATAGTTTACTAATTAAAACTAATATCATGCAGATTTCAACACTAACTTTTTCAGAAGACAATATAAGAAATTGATATAATAAACTACTTTAATATAAAGGAGTATATGAGATAAATTAAACATAAAAATAAATATATTTGAGTACAGTTTCATATAAAATTAATCTTGCTATTTTTAAAGTTTTATATAATAAGATATGATCAATTTACTACATATATGTCTAATTTGATAATTTCACTTTGTAGCACATGTAATGTATATATTTTTAAATAATAAACTCAACAATATAATGCGTCCATATTATCCATTATATAAATATATATACACTAATTTTAATTTATTTTGTTATTATCAAAATAAATATGAAATCTTGAGGTTAACAAGGGTATCAGAGCCCAGTTCAGAGGAGAGAACTAGTTAGGTTTATAAATCTTAGTTTATTAAAATTTGTCTTAAGTGCCATAAATTATTTAATTGTAAACTATTCATCCTTTTGACTTAGCCAACCAAATCATGTAGCGTAGTTAGTGCACAAGATTAGCATAAAATCCCCCTTTAGGTGTAAATCGTTGACAAGGTCTAGGAAGGAAAAATGGAGAATAATTAGGTGATTAGAAGTATTTAGGTTAAATTTTAATAAAAGGAGTTTTGTATACAGAACTAGATCTTTCAATCGAACTGGGGCTATGACATCAACCTCTTTAGATATTATAAATCAAGAGGAAAAACATTTTGAAAATATAAATCAAGAGTTAACCAATTGGAACCTTCCAAAAATACCAGTTAAAGAAGTTTACAAAATTAAACCCTTTCAATTTATGTTAGACTATTCTATTAAGACTATCAAGCAACTAGTCCCCCTCCAAAAAGAAAATCACACAAATTATCTCTTAGATCACAAAAAATAATAAAATTAGAAAACATCAAGAAAAATACCAATATATCCATTTTGGACTTGTTCAAGTAACAATTAAACCCCTAACCAGGAGTGGTCTAAATATCGCCATCCTTCTCTACTTGAGAGATCGAAAGCATAATAAATTTGAAAATTCCCTTCTAAGGGTAGTTGAAACTAGCCTTTTTAATGGACCGATTTATTTTAACAGTTTTCCTAATTTTTCGGTATCACTAAGAGATACTAGAATGTTTAAATCTCTAACCATTAATATTAAGTCCTTTGGATATGATATGAAACCAAGAAATATTTGATATGAACTAGCTTGTGGGAGGATTCCAAGATGATGGAGTTGAATATGATGAGCATGATGAAACTTTACATGTGCCAACTGGACCAATTACAAGAGCACAAGCCAAACAGATCCAACAAGTTATGCAAGGTTTGGTGATGTGGATTTTTAATGAAAGAGCTATTTTAAACGAGCCAGACCTGGACTAAGGAGTAAAGATTGTCAACATCTTGCAAGTCCAAGTTAGAAGAGGGAGTGAGCTCCATGGGACCAATTACTCAAGAACCTAGTGCAATTTAAAGAAGATATATTAATTGGGTTTAAGTGATTTTTTTTATTAGACTTAAGTTGAAGTGTGTATTTTTGGGCTTTATTATTAAAGACACAATTGTCTTTTTATTAGTTTTAATTTGAGCTTGTTTTATTTAGGGTTTTATATAGCCAAACCCAAGCCATTAGGTCTTTTTAGAGGAAAACCCTAGTCTCTTCCTCTATATATGCATGTCGTCTCCTAAGAAAAGGGGCAGATGATTATTATTATTTTGAAAATAGAATCTTGAGAGTTGATTTTCTTCAAGTTGTCTTCAGCAAACTTGCGGCGATTTCAAGTGCAACAACTTGCAATCTAAATCCAATTTATAATATTGGTTCATGTCTCCTTATAGACAACAGGTCAGTATTCATTTCTTCTAATATATTTTTTTGGCAATCTCGGGAATTTGATTTTCAAGTATTGTTGTTGAGTTTCATGACAAGTTCTTGAGATTTGCATCAATATTCCCTTTGCTATCATTTATCTTGTCTATTACATGACAATGACAACTCTTATTGATCCACTTGCAAAGGAATCAATCCCAAGGAATGAGACTCTCCCATTCCTGTCTCATTATGGCAATATTAACATTGCCGTCCCACAAAAAAAAGAAAATTGTAGAGTGAAGTTAACCTTCCCTTGGATTGGTAAATTGAAGATCAAGCCCCTAAATTAATATTAGAAAACAAAACGATTAAAAATATTCAAGAATTTAAAGATGAGTCCATTAGGATCCGGTTTTCTAGTGATAGGTTTTCTACCCTCAATATATATATATATATATATATATCTTATATTCACTATCACTATAGAAGTTTAGTTTACCCTTTATCCCTCAACTTTGTTGAGTGAGTTAAACCCAGATTTAGACATCCTGAATAGTAACTTGACAAGTCTTTGGCATCTAATAGTAAAGTAAATCTACTTTTAAAGGTTTTTGTTTAAAAGACCAAATCCCACTCAGCTAGTTTTATGAATAGAATAGTGTATGAACTCAATTTTAAGCGACACTTGGCTTCAAAACTTATTCCTCTCATAAACTCCCAGCTCCTACCTATAATTTCCTCCCTTGTAGCTTAATTTTCAAGTTTATATCAAAAGTAGCTTATTTTGAAGCCAAGATGGAGAAGGTGACTAGCTTGGCCTTGGAGAATGGCATGATGATTTTCAGCAAGAGCACTTGTTGCTTGTGTTATGCCGTAAAACATTCTACTTCAGTAAATTGTAGTGAACCCAGTAGTCCATGAGATTGATCAGGATCCTGAAGGGAGGGGAGAAGGCCCTTATGAGGTTGGGCTACATTTCATCTATTCTTGCAGTGTTCATTGGTCGGAAGCTCATGGATACCACCAATAAAGTCATGTCCCTCCAACTAATAGGCTCCGTAATCCCTCTCCTCAAGCCATGTCATCAGCTTAACTAGTTATAACGGAAATGAAGCCATCTTGGAAGAATAAGCCAGTCATACCAATTCTAACTTCAAATATGAGGCTGTGACATGCAATTGTAATTGCCCATTATGCCCCTCAAACAGCAATTAACACCTTTGCAAGTACTAAAAACTGCAGCTCCTTGTAACATTTATCTTTGAGATAACTCATGAAAAGTCATTTCTAATCACATTAATTATTACATTCTCCATGGATCGAATGAGGCACTCACAAAGCAAAAATTCTGCAAACAAAAATCCTTTATCCGCACTGAACTCTCCAAAATTGAAGCTAAGTGCGCATCTGCATCATACTTACAGGTATGCTACATTCGCAAACACGATGACTCAGAAGCAACATCAAAGGAGCTTTTTAAGCTTTTGACATCAAAAAGCAAGACAATGGTGAACTTTCCTACATAATGACAAAATATTTTTCAATTAAAGGCAGTTTTGTCTTCCTTTGAGAACATAATTACATTTGATTAGTATTTTTTAAACATTTTGCTTTGGTTGACACAACCTAATATAAGTTGACGTGATTATAAGTTATGGCCGTTGAATAATGTGGAGTTAAAACTCAAGTGACTACATTCAGGGTAAGTGATATTTGGGAACATTTGACGCAGAGCCGATGGCAAATTATTTTCAATAAAGTTACACAAAAGATATTTGCACCGAGGGTTGTCGTGTAGTTAAATTCATATCAAATTAGATAAATTTATATTTGAATTCAATTCAAAATTTTATACATAATGTGTTTATTAGTCCATATTTGAGTATGATGAATAATTCAAAATTTAACAAAAAAATATAATTTGATTAAAAAATAGTATTTTTTTATATTTAAATCTCATTAATCACTATAATCCATCAAATTTTTGATTTCTTCAACTTAATCCCTACTTGTTTAAATTTATTAATGTTATATATATTTGAATTATGATTTTAATAAAAAAATATTATTAAAATTTATTAAAAATTTTAACAAATTAAATTACTTAATTTTATACTTGACCCACTTAAATCAAGTTATAAATATTTATAATCAAATTTGATTCATTAAATATTTTAATTTAATTTAAATACTAAAATTTAAATTAAATTCAAACTAAATTCAAATTAAAATCACCTTATTCACAACCCTGCTTACACACTTCCAACAAGCAATGACAAAATGCTGCGCCAAATTACAACAATAATCCATAATCTTTACACCCAATTCCAATTTGGTTCCTGTACCGTTAACTTCTGTTACTCTTGTTAGTACTCAATGGAGTCGGGCGCAAAAATGTTATAGGGCTAAATTTTTTTCAATTAAAAGGATAGGAGCCAAATAAAATAAAGAAAGAAAATGGCTTCCATTGCTGTAACTTTTTCTAACACATCATGTACGACAGGCTCTACACCACCAACATTTTTACCAGCATGATAGAGAAGATTTCATAAGTTGGCAGTAAATGAAATAAAAAATTAAATAATAAAAGATAGAGAGAACCAGAACCCGGCTGAGATTCATTATTAAATGCAGACAAAAAAGCCACAAGCTTGGCTCGCCAGAAAGGCTAACCAGGAAAAGGGTTGTTTTTATATAGGACTTTCTATCGGATAAACTTCAAAGTTGGGGAGAGGCCGGGGACCTAACCATTTATCCCTCAGGAATATCTCTCCTGTTTATATATCATCCAAAATACTCATACCCGTATATCTATACAGTATAAGCACACCTCCTGTTTATCTGCTATACTTGGTGAATTAACTCGTCTGAGCTGATAAAAGTACCGTGAAAACCATACGGTACCCTTGACGGAAGCTTAACGGTAGCCTCCAACTCCAGATTAATGGCGTTTATGATCTGAAGCTCCGATTTCCACGTCTTCTCGTCGTGAACGAATGAGAGAATGTACCCATCATCCTCTCTCTCACTGTTAGCCTCCATGGGCACAAAGCACGGCTCTCCGCCGTATCTTCTGTCGCCGTATACGTATTTTTCTACTCTCCCTGTAGAAATCTCGACCTTGGCGAATCCACAAACCTTGGGCCACGGCTCAGCTATTGCGAGATACACGTACCTTGTCTTTCTCCCCAGCTTGTTCCTGTTCACCATCCCGGCTTCCAAGTTCATCTGATCCGGCCCGGAAATTATCTTGCGTCGGGTCGACTTTCGGGTCCTCAGGTTGAGCCTGATTTCAGACAACACGCTCTTCAGAGGCTCGTCACAATCGTTGAAAATGGAAGCGGGAGGGGTCATGCACGACCCGATTACAACCACCTCGTTGGATTCGGGTTCTTCCCATGCGTTCCAGAGGTGGAAGCAAAACGTATCCGGGCATTCCACCCAGACAATAGCGGAAGCATTTCGGGCATTTTTTGGTAGAATTCCAAACCGGGCCTTCTTTTTCGGTTCGTGGATGACAGGTGACCCACCCCGGATCATCTCTGGGAGCTTGAAGACCACTTGCTGGTCCGGCACCACCACGTAGTTCTCCGTGATCGCGAAGTCGTGGATCATGGTAGGAACCTTCAAGGGTATCTCGACGTCTGGCGATTTGGTTCCGTCGGCGGAGAAGTGGAAGTACTTCAGGTAGGGCCTCTGGACGACATCGTAGCTGAGCGCAAATAGTTCTCTGGTCACTGGGTCGAGCTTCGGGTGGGCGATCATGGCGGACCGGAGTTGCTCATTGAAGTTGAACCGACCAATGGTGTGGAGGTCCCCATTCGGTTCGAGGCGAACGTGGTACGGAAGGTCGTCTTCGGACATGGCCAGCAGCCTGCCGTTGAAGTAGACCAAGCCCGCGTTGGCCACTCCGGTGCCGTGGCGGTGGTCCACGAGGCCCAACAGCCCTCGGGCGTAGAAGAGTAGGAGCCGGGCGATACCCGAGTGGCCGTGGAGCTCCCCGATTGCTTTCGGGAAAACAGGCCGGCCCAGCACTCTTTCCTGGATAAGGCGCTCTGTTTCGGTGAACCGGCAAGCGTGGCTGACTGAAATATCCGGATTGAATGTGACAGCATGCACCATACCGTCCCCGTCGAAAAAGTGGTGACCGGCGACTGGTTCGAATAGCGGGTTGGCACCATTGCGGACGTAGACGCCCCGAATGCAGGCCGGTACAGTGCCTGTGACAGGGAGAGATTGCCGGACGGGTTGTTCTCGCACAGGAGCGAAGTTTCCGGCGATTTGGATTCTCGGGTCCGCAGTCTTTGGGAGCGGGTGTTGGCACTCGTGTGAGACCAAGATGTCCTCTACCATATCTAAGGCGTGGGCTGCTACTTTCTGCAGCAAGTTCCAGTGCGGTGATTGGGGTGTTTTGGGGGAGTCCTCTCTTGTAGCTGGTGGTGTCACGGAGATGGAGAGTTGTTTTGGTAAATGAAGAGCAGAAGGAGCGTGAAGAGCAGAGGAGATGGTGAGTTTATTTACGGAGAGGGAATTTGAGGGCAGGCCGAAATCAAGTTGGGCCCTGGCCCAAGTATTAGAGGTAGGAGCTGGGATACAAGCCATGGTTCCTACTGGCCTCACTAGATAAGTGGTGAAAATGAGAGGTGTTATTTTAATTTTGGGAAATTACGATTGGTGAGGAGATGGGAAATGGAGGGAGGAAGAGGGGGTATTAATAGAGAGGGTGGTGTGAGTGTTGATTGAAAGAGAAGGGGGAGTGTGAGGGGGTCCAACTGAGACATATAAGATAAAACCACGTGGGAGCATTCTTGGGAAGGGCATTGGCCATTGATGGTGGGATATATATGGTGGATCCCTGTACCCATAATCCATGACCCATGACATGACTAATATATATATATATATATATATAAAGAAAAAACAATTTAAAATTTTAATTAATTAGCTTAAAGAATTATAAATTACCTAAACAAATGAAAATAAATTGTACAAGGCAATCAACACCGTCACTTTTTGCAAACATTTAGAGAGTAGGTTTGGCTGTCAATTTCCAAAATCAAATATTTATGGCAAATTCTACGGTGCCCCTCCAAAGGGAGGGCACCGGTGCCCACCCCTCTCACAAGGGGTGGGCCCCACTGCCGGGGCCCCCTGCATTGGGAGGGGGCCCCACCCTCGAGTGCTCTCTTCCCCCTCTCACATAGGGGGGTTTGTACCGGTGCCCTTCTTTTTGGAGAGGGCACCGGAGTGTTCATCAATATTTATTATTATTATTATTATTATTATTATTTCTTCCGTATATGTCTTATTATACTTACTAACTAAAATTTTTGAGTTAGCTACGATGAATAATATATTAATCACAGGTTTAGCAACTAATTTGGTCAAGTCTCCAGAATCAAAGCAATTAAACTAATACCCATTTAAATGCTTTATATGTTTTAGAGAATTAATTAAGTCTTATTTTTTAAAATTTTTAATTATGAACGCTACTAATATATCTTAATATTGATTTATAAAATCAATATTAAAATTTAAATTAATAGATAATTAAATTCCTAATTGAAGGGTGAAGATTATGAATGCCATTATCAAACTTGCATGGCAATCCAAAATTTTACATGCTAATATATTTTTATATATAATATAGATATCTAAAGAAAATTAAATTATATTTACTTTATATCCCAGATTAATTTTTCAAATTAAAAACTAATTAGTTCGTTAATATTACAAGGGAAAAGGTGTAAACCTCATCAAAAAGGAAAGAACGGAAGTGTATAAACAATTATAGAGTGTTGTGTCCGAAGTCCAAACCCTTGAATGGCTGGGGTCACCACTCAATCTATTCTAAGTTGAAGTAAGGGTAGAGGTAAATTGAAATTAATTAGGGTTGACAATAGTTAATTAAGAAAAATTTAAGCTAATTTTTTAAGGTCAAATCATTAAAATATACTTAAATTAATAATAAATATGGCATAAGACAAAGTCAAACAAAGATATGCTATTTTTATATATAGGACTCACATTTGGTAGACAATATTTCATAAGATAATATAGGATAGTATCTGAATAAAGTATTTTAACTGTACAGTGTCTTGGGTTATTATATCATTTTTTGATAATTTTATAAAAGTCTGTATAATATATATATATATATGTGATACTAAATTATTTTTTTTATTTCTTTGTAGCAATGAACGACAATAGTTGGTGGCAGTGAGTGGCAAGCAAGTGTGATGACAGTAGGTGGTGCATGGCGATAGGCAATGGTGGTGGTGGTGGTGTGGTGGTAGGAGGTGGTGGGCGATGGTTGCAATGGGCAGTGGTTGCAGTGGTAGGTAACGGGGCAACAGTGGTGGTGGCGATAGATGGTGGATGGCAGTGACAAGCAATGATAGTGGTGGCGATGGTGGTGGGTGGCCACAGCAGTGACGAACGACTATGGCAGCGATAATAGGTGGTGGGTGATGGTGGGGGCGGCAATGGTAGGTGGCCGTGAGAGGTGACGATAGGTGATGGTGGCGGATAACAAGTAGTGGTAGTGCTAGTGGTGGCGGTGAGGATAGGGATGATGGTGGGCACTAGGCAATAGCGCTAGGTGGTGGAGGCAAGAGTGGATGGCTTGTAAATATTAGAGACAATATTTTCTAAATTAGCTGGATAAAAGTTTGATAAATTATCTCACAATTCCTTCTATATAATTTATCCCAATCTAACAAAATAATTATTTAATCTACCAAAAATTATAAAAAAATTAGATAAGCGCACATAATTTATGCTTATTCACCCTTAATTTATGGCAAATATGACTAACGGGGTTGACCTACTTTACATTCTAACACAGGTGTGCATGTCTATCGCATCACATCTTGACCTCCCTCTTCACAGCGGCATATATCTATCATTTTTAGATCTTAGGGAGATAAGTCAGTGACACAAGACTAAAAATATTTTTTATATTTATTGAAAATGAAAAATGAAACTTCCTTTTTAATGGTCGTAAATAAGGGAGTGTGGTTAATTTCTTGGTAGTAATTGTTTTTAAGGCTACTAAATAATTCAAGATCTGAGAATTATTAATTTAATAATTTATTTGGTCTGAACTATTAATTTATAATACTTAAAAAGTTTATTATTAATTTCTAAGACTTTATATACAACAATATTTTATACTTATAAACTGACGTGGGGCTAAATATCACAATTGTGCATCGTTGAAATTAATGTAGCATTAATGCAGTTACGAGAACATTGGTTTATGTCAACCTCTATCCTTAATTATGTGAAAAGCACTGAATAAGAAGGGAATAATTTGGATAACCTCAACCATGAAAGTAACATATATCAGTTTTTGGCGTAAACATCATGACATATGCCACAAAGTAGCAAGATTAGAGGTCCCCATATGTGAAATCCATGTGAAGTAGCGTATTCGACTTGTTTGATTGGACGGAGCAAAACAAAGATAAAGCCATCGGCCTAGGAGTTGGCGACATGATGCCAACTCCTTGTTCCTTAGTCCAAGGGTGAAATCAATGGGTCACGTTGTCTAGGGCCACTTGAAAATTAAGCTTGAAAATGATGGTTGACGTTCCCAGTCTTCTACAACTTTCTCTAGGAAGATGATGACCAAAGTGCTACTTCTTTTCTTTTTTTCTGAATGATTTTAGTTAGGTGCACCAATTTATTAGTTGGTAACAAAGCGGTTGGACCACACCTAGCTTGATAAATTGTTCCTTCAAACACTAGGTAAATAAGTTACCCTTATTTCACAATTTATTCTATCAAGTAATACCCCAAAAATTTAGGGTTTAAATAGGAAAGTTAGAAGTTAAGGGACCTAAGTAAAAGAAACAAAAAGTTTAGGGTCTAATTAGAAATGCTAAGGGCATAATTGATATAAATTAAACTTATTAGGGCCAGAATGAGATTAACCAAAACTGTTAAGGACTGGATTGTATGAAATCAAGAACTGAGGGACTAGATCAGAAATATCAAAAACCTAGACATCCATCTTCCAAATTTAGCCCAAACCCAAAATCGAACTGTCACAATCGTGTGACACAAATCCCACCCAAATTAGCCCTCCCCTGGCCACATCACCACCACTAATAGGAAGCTTGGTCGTTGCCGGACTTCATCTGTCGAGTCGTGGAGATCAAACAAGGTAATCAACTAGTTAATTTCTTTGAATTCTTGGGAAGTTGATAGCTGGGTAAGGACGATAGACCAAGCAAAGACTCAGGTTTGCACTAGACCCAGTTCCTTGGACCAAATCGGCACATGGGTTGATTGGTTAGGTTGAAATATGGTTTGGGCCAAGTGGCTGAATGGACCTTGGGTTAATAAGGCTTGGTTTTGGGTTCAATTCGGATTGGGCCTCGCTAGTGTTGAACTAGGCCAAGGCTAGGACACAAGTCAACAGGTTCGAGGTTCTCGAGTTTGGACTATAAAAGGATCCAGATCTAGGGTATAAATTTAACAAGGTAATTAGGATTCAGGAAATTCCAAAAATTAACCAGCTCAAGGGGGTTTAGCAATCAGTTTAGCACTACTTCAGACAATTAAAAGCTAGTTCAATACTTAGATAGACTGGTTTAATATCGAATAAGCTCGATTTAGTGTAATATATACCTGGTTCATTGATTAAATGACCGGTTCAATGGTTATGTGCCTGGTTCACTAGATTAGAGGTTAGTTCAGAGCTGGTTCACTACATTAGAGTTAGTTTAGAGCAAATTCACTGCATTAGAGGTCGGTGCAAGGCTAATTCACTTCATTAGAGGCCGATTCAAAGCCAGTTTAGTGTATTAGAAGCCCAATCATGGCTAGTTTAACCTTCTAGTGACTGGTTCAAGGTCGGTTT